AGTCTTACATCTAGGGATGCACCGAAATGAAAATTCTGGGCCAAAACGGAAACCGAAAATTCTGGATGCACTTGGCCGAAAACCGAAACCGAAAATGCTTTATATTATTTAATAAAATAATAGATAATCATTACAAAGTAATTTTGTAAGACTTTTTAAATTTAACTTTTACTGAAAGTAACACAATAAAACTGGACAGAATTTATATTAATATTGGTAACACTTTACAATAAGGTTCATTAGTTAACATTAGTTAACTACATTAGTTAATGAACTAAGATTGAACAATAGTACTTCAGCATTTACTAATCTTAGTTCATGTTAATTTCAACATTTACTAATGCATTATTAAAATCAACAGTTGTGCTTGTTAACAGTTAATGCATTCTGAATTAACATGAACTAACAGTGAATAACTGTATTCTCATTAACTAACATTAAGAAAGATGAATAAATACTGTAATAAATGTAATGTTCATTGTTCGTTCATGATAGTTAATACATTAACTAATGGAACCTTATTGAAAAGTGTTACCTTAATATTAAATATCAATATATTATTTTTATTCACTTCTATGTAACAGAATCAGATATAAGTTGTTGTTTGTTTTTTTGACTAATTATCCAAATAATGTATAGTCCTACCAAGCTATTATTAGCAGAGCATATGAGCAGAGCAGAGCATAGCGTCACTGTAGGTAGCATAATTTTACCAGTGTTGCCCAGTACAGCTGAACTAGCCTACACCATGTTACAGCACAGTAGCGCTACTGCAAACCAGAACAAGTAGGCCTATACTGCATAGAGATTTCCTGTCGGCACGTTATTTGAGCACTTTGCTTTTACGATGAGCATGAGCGGTACACGGTACACATTCATAGCTCGGAATATTGAGCGGAGCGTGACGAGGAGAGTGAAACATGCACGCTGAACACTGCTGAAAATATCGCGATGCTGTATCGATTTTTTTCCCCCACCCCTAATATTTAGTGTTAGCTTATCAGTGGTGACTATCAGTTAATGTACATATGGCAGAAATGTACGGAAAAATCAATTAAAGACGTAATCAATTAAAGACGTAATCAAACAGACGATGAACACTATTAAAAGCAATTATTATATGATGCAATCAAACTTATAGCAAAATTTGGTAGTTCTGTATGTGGTTTCAGGGTTGGCATCATCTGAGGTCCTCTGAGGGGTTGGCATCATCTCTTCTCAGGTGTTCTGGATCCAGACTGAAGCTTGTGTAAGGATGTCAATTGTGGAAACTAATCCCGTATTTTCTAATAATATTACCAAGGGGCAACATGTATATTGAAAATAGCAGAGATATAGTAAATTAGTAATAGTAAATTTCATGTTAGTGTTTATAATATTTTTTTTCCCTAACATTCGTTTTTTTTTTTTAGACCTATTCAGTATTTAAATTATTTCTTAAAGTAATAAAAATAGTGTGTACTAGAACAGGCTCTCATACTAGGTTGTTAGAAAAACACATTATTTTTCACATATTTTACATTATTACAACACCTCTCTCCCCAGTCTGGCATGAACGGCTCGAA